AATCTTATGTGAATAGGGGATGCCACGCTAAAGTCTCGACTTTCTAGCTTTTGCAGTCCATGCGATAATTTTCCTACCAAAAGTTTCACGGGGCCGTACGTGGTACTCGGGGGTGCGTGAAGGCTGAATGCAAATTTGCGGCGTCGTACGTTGGTAGAGGACATCACCGTAAAATTTCAGATTCACAACTCCAGCAGTTTCCGAGATAATAATTTTCCCCGCAGAAACTTTCAGGAGGTCGTAAGTGATGCTTAGGCGTGCGGGGATGCTGAATTTAAACTTGCGGAATGGTATGTGGGCGGCGGGCAATAGCGTAAAATTTCAGCTTCCTGGCTTTTAGGGTTTCCGAGATAATAATTTACCCGACGAAAATTTTCCAGGGCCGCAGGTAATACCCATGATCGTCGGAATGCTGAATTTGAATTTGAGAGGTCGTACGTGGGCAAGGGTTATTACCCTAAAATCTAAGCTTTCTAGATCCCGTGGCCCTCGAGATAGTAATTTACCCGCCAAAAGTTTCACAGGACTGTATATGTTAACTGCGGGCACGGGAAAGCCGAATTTAAGTTTTCGGGATTACACGTGGGTGGGGAACATTCCTCCAAATTTTCAGCTTCTTTGCTTTTGTGGCTCTGGTGATAATAATTATACCCGCCAAAACTTTTACGGGATCGTACGTGTTACCCGCAGGCACGGGAAGATTGAATTTAAGTTTTCTGGGTCGTACGTGGGCAGCGGCCACACCCACGAAATTCCAGCCCCCTAACTTCCGTGGCCCCCGAGATAATGATTTTACTAACCAAAAATTTCACGGGGCCGTCTGTGTTACCCGCAGGTATGGGAAAGATGAGTTTAAATTTCGGGGTCACACGTCGGCGAGGAACACTCTACTAAAACTTCAGCCGCCTAGCTTTTGTGGTTCCCGAGTTGAAAGTGCGGGACAAAATCTGGGACACACATACACACACGCACACACATATATATATATGTATCTACACAAGCACACAGACAACCCCGTGACAATATGCGTTTTTTATACTGCTGTTCCACAGCACAAAACGCACAATAAAAACTGGGGATTTGGCAGCTTTCAAAAAAAGTCAAAAATTTAAAATGCGCTCATCTGAAACGCCTGGCTACGCCAGTGGTCAGCGAAGCTTCAGAATTCGATCAAGTCAGCGTAACAAAATTTAAAAGTTTGTTTCCGGAAAATCTAAGGCAACGTACAATTACAGCGTACGTGGTATCTGTTTGCACGAAGAAACACTAACAATGGCAATCGGCGACGACGCCACCTATTCGCTTGAATTTGCCGATGGTGTCCCAAGATATCTTATTTCCGAGGTAACCAAATGATGCAACTGTAGACGGACAACTACAAATAAACAATCATGATTGTCCCGCTATAGTTTGCTCCTCAGAGGCCTAGGTAAAAAATCTGCTTTAGAGCTATACCAGAATCTGAAAGTGCCCACAGGAACCGAACATGACAACGTGAAATACTGAATTCCGGCCCAACAAGTCAGAGGAATGATTAAAAATATATTAGGGATTTCTTGCTACAGTTGCATCTTATTTGGTGTACTCTACACGATGTTTTTTAAGACTAGGTGCTTTAAAGGCCAAACAGAATAGCCAGTAACACTAGCCATTTTTTTTAATTTTTATAGGTTGGAAGCAATGGCACGATCATTGGCCTAACAGAAAAATATGCTATTCTATATACGGACTGCTCGGCTGCTTGCTTGCTGCCAAGTGAACGTCGTGTATCAGTGTGGACAAAATTCGGTAGTGATCCAGACACAAAAGATTTGGGAGCCGTACTCTATCAAGCCTGCATCCTTGAAGAAGAGTTGGATAAACGAACAGGTAGCAGTGAGTGCTGGTAAAACTGCCTCTCAAGTTCCAGATCCTTTGTCAAATCTATGAATTAAAACTGAGAATTGGATGTAGTTAACAGCGTGGTGATTCATTAACCTGGAACTTTTACTTAGACTTTCCGACACTGCCTGGTCCATTATATTTCCATACCATGATGAGATCTGTGTCTCGGTCACAGTTTGTGATATGTACATATATAACGCTTAGGAAAATATGGAAATCCCATACACTGGCCGCCTTGAATTTATAATTGCGTCACATTTTATTGTAACAGATCATAGGGAACCGTTGGAGATTGTTTTTTAGAACAAAAATATGCAAAGACACATAAATGAGGTGGCTAATAATTGTTCAGTTGGGACTTCAAATTACTCTTTGGGCTTTCTAGCTCCAGAACAAAATAAACGAGAAATCCAAATTTTGCGTTTGAATTCCTGGAGTTGAGACTCCAGTCCTCATTTCTCTTCTGCCGGTTCTTTATCACAATCGAAATGAAATTCCGCGTTTGTTAACAGCGTCCGAAAATCGACCAGTACCAATACAGTGGTTACGGGGTACAATAGGTTAGCTAAATAACCACTCGAACTCGATCGTTCTCCAACCGGTAGCGCCAAACTCCGATAACCGAGCCTTAAATCTGGGTTATTAAACCTTTATTCAACATATACAATACGAACAATTTACACAACATCAAACACGAAAACGCGACAGTCTTTCAATCGCCCAAAAAAGGGAGAAAGATGGACAATCAGTGACTGTCCTGCACAATTCGACCACAAAAAAATGAGGCGAAAAAGCATCATCTAATACCCATTCAGTAAACCAAACAGTTAAAAAAGCAATGGGATTTGGGTCGTAAATTATTCAGATCTGCGCGTGTTCTTCCCTGCACGTGCAGTTTCCACCATGTTGTTATTCCAAGTTTGAGAAATCTCGATTTTTTGACAATAATATCAAATTCATATGAAGAGAGATGAAAACACTTCTTCAGCATGAGGACTTTTTTGACGATTATTTCTGAGAAGTGTAATAGTGCTGTAAAATTTCAGTTCCGTCACTGAAGAGGAGGAGAATAGGAGAGAGGTGGATGTGGAAGAGGAAGGAAAGAGGGGGGAGGGGACGGGTGATGGAGTAAAAAAACCCGTACAGGGGAACTTTCTCAACGTTACATTGGCGCAAATGATGTGAATGACTCGAAGAACCAAAACAACAAACCGTTTGATAAAAATGACCAATGGAAACTTCAAAAATAACTAATCTTAACTGATATTATCACAAGTGACAACAAAGAAACGGCAACAAAGATTAAAAACAACTTCAAGAAGTACTGCCAGATGCGTGTAACACCGATTATGAAATCATTTGTGCTTTTCCAAAAAAGCCCGGCAACAACGTACACACTGCTCATAAACCTAAAATAGTGTAAGGAGTGATCAGTTGGGTCTCTAAGATATCCTAAATTACTATTACAGTTAGTCGGTGCAAGAAATCTTGTTGCACATTTCTAAACAGCGACTGTCAACATCGTAGAAATTTAGCATGTTTTAAATGCCTGAGATCTTCCTCTGCTCCTCACCTCTTTCCAATACCTACACATGACACAAATTGAAGAGAATAATGATTACCTGTTCGAACAATTCCGTGCCACGGCTGTAGTATGGGTCGGGGACGACCAAAATCCCTTGTGGATCATATCTTCCCAAATAATCTACAACCGCTGTAACCTTGAGTGTTTTACTCATATCGGTCAGGTCTCTGAAAATCGTAACGGCAGAAGCCCATCAATAACAAGATAAAGGTACCAAAGATACTACGACCGGTCAGGCTGTCAGTCTGGGTACTCCCTTGAATGTTTCCAGCAGCTTGGTTTAGAGCGAAAAAGCGGCGCTTTAAAAAAGAGATAAGAAACACAAGAACTAATTGTAAAACACTTTTTTTTTAATAGAGTTAAAAATGCAATAAAAGAGTAAAAAAAAAAACTACGATGATTCATCAGGAGGAGGCTCAAATGAGGTAAAAGTTGGCGAAGTGAACAATGTTCCTAGCACAATCCTGAACTTGCCTGATATTGTTTTCATCCATAGCAAGAATGTAACCAAATTTGACAAAGTCTTCATCGTTCACCTGCAAAATCATCTGAACGATATCGCCCCCTTTTTACTTCATAACGGCTCAACTTCGCAAAATCGTTTCACATGAATAAATAAATGGCCAGTGCACCCACTACCAGTGTAAAGATGCGTTTTTTGCATAGTTCCCAGCACTTTTTGTCGCTACTGGCACCGGTTTTTCCGGGAAATACTTCTAGTTAAGAGAAATAAAACTGGGCACCAGGGCTGTCTGAAAACACCTCTTATAATTTAAGCTTTCTAGCTTTTCTGGTTTCCCAGTTAGCAACTTACCCGAAAAAAATTTTCACAGACCCGTACGTGGGAACCACGCATACCAGGGCTCGAACTTTACTTGGACGGGGAAAAATCCCCATTAAAATCCCAGTCTTCTAGCTTTTCAGGTTCTCGAGTAAGTAACTTACCAAGAAAAAACTTTCATGGGCAAGTACGTGGGAACCAGGCATACCTGGGGTTGAAATTGAAATCACTAAGCTTTACGTGAACAGGGAACATCCCCTTAAAATTTCAATCTTCCAGCTTTCCTGATTCCCAAGTAAGCAGCTTGTTTGTCAAAAACTTTGGCAGGTCTGTACATGAGTACCACGCGGACACGAGCGCCCATTTTGGGTACGGGAACCCGTACATGCATGTAGATTAAATTCGCAAAGTTTTAGACCTGTAACTGCTGTAGGACCCGAGATGAAAAACCGGTACATATGAAAACACATACACACACAAACAACCCCTCATCAATGTGCAATTTCTGCATTGCATAGATGCAAAAAACGCATAAAAAGTAGGAAAAGATCCTAGCCAGCCATAGCAATCACAGTTTCACTGTTAAGCAGTTATGCGAACTGACTTTTTCTATCAACCAATTCCAAGCTATGGCATCCAGCAACCGCGAGGAGCTCATCTACATCCAAGTGATATTCTACAAAACCCCTAAAATTCTTAACCACATACTCTCGTCACACGCCGCGGAGCACTTATTTTTCATTCCCTTTAATACAGTTTTGCAAAGTGCAGCAAAGAGAAATGGCACTGGGTCTGCATTTCAACATACCACACGCACACGATGCACGTAATCCGTAATACCATGACGGATCAGCGTCGTTACTGTCCTCTTGTCTGGATTTTTACCTATGTGGTAATCAATTATAGCAGCACTGTCCACGTTCCACTGCGCAGCAAGACCTTCCTG